GATCAAGTCGTTCTTCTCTGTTTCACTGCCAGCACAGCACATAAATAACATGTGGGCAATTACCTTGAGTAAATTATATGTGTTTTATAACCTTCCATGAACACTTTTTCCTTTAAAAAAACACAACAAAACAAAACAAAGCAAAACAAAAATATTCCTCAAGGGAGTTGAATATCAGAGAAAAGAGTAAAACACATTTTCAAAATTTTCTGTACATTGGAGAACAGAGTTGGACAAGGTGGGTTCCTCTCATTAACAGTGTTTCAGCTGGAGTCTGGTTTTCTGCACAGCTTTCAGGTGAATCTTGAACTCATTGCCCATCTTGAACACAATTGTCCCTTAGCTTTGCATCCACTTTCTTTTTCTGTCATCTCTGTCTTTATGTTGCTTTCTTTCAATTTTTACCCTCTATGTCTCTGCCTCATGATACCTCATTCTACTGAGGATTGGGAAGATTTGACAAGAGAATAAAGTCCTGTTAAATCCAATAATGCAGTAGCAGTCTCCAGCCAACAGTCAATGTACTCATGGGGATGGTGATTGTGGTCATACTTGAATCTTCTAGGCCCCACTCTTGCCTCAAATCCTGCCCTTGCAAGAAAGAGCCTTCCAAGGACTGGTCCACTTGGTGAACCCAGGCCAAGAACTCACTAACAGAGCAAACTCGTCCTTCAGCTAGCCAAAACTGCTCACCACTGTATACATCATGCGACAGAAGGTTCTCAAGGAGGCCACTTTGCTGGGCACTCTGCTTTGGCATGCATGAGTGGCCATCTTTCTTCAGACTGTTTGTCCAAGCTAGCCTGCTTTTACTTCCTCCATTACAATCTCATGCACACATCTACCTCTCTGTCCTCAATTCTTCTCCATTAGCCATAGTGCTAGGTTGAACACCTGCTCTCACACACAATGCCACATGACACCAACTTGTAGGTTTAAAGGTCCAGATCCACAACAGAGACTTTCAGCCTACTTTGTGGAATCTGGGGTGGTTCGTTGGAAGTCATAATGAATGACATGAGGTTTGAAGGCTGAATAAGAGTATCCCAGTCTGTCATCCAAAATGAAAATGAACAATAAAAGAAATGGATGAAGAAAGAAGTCCATCAAATGTGCCCTTCGTTAGACTTTTCTAAACCACAGGACCATCCTCCACACTGTCCTTCCCTCTTCGTCAGGCAAAGGCCCAAAGTGGACTTTCTGTCTCTTTCACTGTGACAGCCTAGTGCTCTGGGCCAGGCTGACAGACCTCTTACCCAAGACTGGACACAGCAGGGCCTTCCAGAAGAAAACAAGACAAATTATTGCCAATGCAAACTAAGGTTTCTTCCTCTTCACAGAAGTTTTTTCACCATTTGCCTCACAATTAAACATCCAAACCACTTGACCAGTTTTGAGAAAATGTAAGTACTACTCAGCTTTCAAAGGCCACTGCCTCAATGGGATCTGTGGCCTGGTCACTTACCCCAGAAACCTTGCTTGGAAGCTCCCTAAGGGTGTGGATTTCAAAAAGAAGTAGGCCTAGAAGGAAGCAGTTTACATAATGACAGCCATTCCCTGTGCACGGAATTGTTGCAAGTCAGTTGTCCTCCCCTCCCTGAGTTTTTATTTCCTCACTCACAGAAAGTGTGACATACAGAATTATTCATAATAGCTAAGACAGGTAACAACCAAAGTGTCCACCAACAGATGTGGATATGCATACACACACACACACACACACACACACACACACACACCACGATAGAATATCATTATATGCAGCCATAAGAAGAAGGTAGCCCACCATTTGCAACAATTTAGTTGCAACAATTTAGAAGGCATTAAGCTAAATGAAAAAAGCCAGACAGAGAAAAATAAAGACTGCACATTCTCATTTATATGAAGAAACTAAAAACATGGGACTCATAGAAACGGAGAGTTGGATGATGATTGCCAGGATCTTGGGGAGGGTGGCAAGGGATCTGGATGTGGGTCAAAAGTAACAAAATTGTAGTTATAAAATGAATATTTGCTAAAAGAGTAGATCTTGAGTGTTTTCACCACCCATGCACACACTCAACAACAACTGAGATGATGGGCGTGTTAACTAATTTGTGGTGGTGATTATTTCGTAGACCAGCCATACATCAAATCATCATGTTGTACATCACAAGTACATAAAATTTCTTGTCATTTACACCTGTAAGGTGAGAAAATGAGAATTAATTTAATATAACAAATATTGTGTAAGGGTAGGAAACTGCTCAAAGAGGAAACGTAACTGGGATAAGGGAAAGGAAGAAAGAAGAGAAAAGGAAACAGACATAAAACTGTATACACACGCACACATATACATATACATATACATATACATATACATATACATATAATAGCTAAAATTACTATACTACTAATTGTATTACCTCTTGGAAAAGAAAAATTAATACTCATCTGATTAGATTAATTTTACATGTCTATATCTGGCAATCTAAGCAACCATTTTGAAGTTCACTACATGGACTATTACAACCATTGTTAAATTCCTATCATCTTGTTTTGGAAACCTATAGTGTTATTGTTTAGGGTTTGTTGTTGTTTGTTTGTCTCATTTGCTTTTTGTTTCTCTTTTCTGTGTCTTTTTTCTCTTGCATAAATAAAAGAAAGAAAATTAAATTAATGGTGACCGTAGAATAAAACTTATTCAATTAATTTTTTAATTAAATCAATTTAAAAACTACATGAAATAATTTTAATTGCAATAATAAAAACGATAGCTGATGAACGAAGGAGTTAGACCTCCCTGTCAGTGAAGCACGTGACCCGTTCCCCGGTGCCGAGTGGGAGATGGCTGGAGCACATATGTGGGCCTCCTTACCTCTCCTTGAACCCTTATGCAACCTGCTCACTTTCTGGTAGGATTTGAAGGGAGAAGAAAACCAACAGGCAGGCAACTCACAGGGCTTCCTCAGATCTCTGTCAGCATGTAGCCCAGGAGTGTCAGTTTTTCTTTTCTTCTTTCCACAACACAGTGTACAAATATCCATTTGATTGCGCTTAATCCTCTTAGAGCATCTGTTGAGGTCTAGCCATTCAAGTTTTCCACCTTGACCTGGACTTCGTGTTTCTGGTGGGTTATGGGAGGGTGAACTCTCTTCCCTGATTTCACAGCTGAACGGAGCTCATCAGCACCCTTGCCTGGCTAGTGCCACTCTCCTGTCCTTACTGGAACCTGGCGTGTTTTTCTGGGGGAGGCTGTGAAGCTAAGTTTTCCCATTTCTCTCCATATATTCTGCCTGACTGCACCAAAATATAAAAATCTTGATTTAAGTATTTTTGTATTCAAAGACCATACACAAGTGTTCATTTGAAGGTTCAGTGGCATTTTGAAATGAGAACATCATATATAAAGATGTCAGAGATGGAGCCTCCCACAGTGAGGTTGAAAGAGAGAAAGGAACAAAATGAATAGGAGACTTCCTTGGATCCAAGAAATTTTAACATCTCATTATTTAGATTACTCTACATATAATTTTCCAATATTTGGTATTATAGACTTCTGAAGGTACTGGTTAAAATTACCTCATGCCTGACATCAATTTACTTGTATTCATTATCTAGCTAAAATAAAACCTTAAAAATAGCTGATTAGAGTAAGTAAGCAATTTTCTGATAAATGCAAATTCTCTACCATTACCAAAGGAGCATTCGCAGTAGACAGAAATAGAAGGGCCAGGGGGTAATGGTCCTTCAGTGTTTCAGCATCCTGGCATGGAGCAATGTGGATTCGGGAATGCTCATAATGCCTGCAGGATTTGATTGTGTTTGGAAGGCACCCAGCTTTCCCCAGCAGTCGGCTGCCTCCATGACAGGCCAAATGCTCTGGACTCCACTCACCCTAATGACAGAGATTTCGGTGTGATCATCACATATACTCATTGCCTTCATTGTTGCTCCCAGCCCTTTGTGAGCCAGTGAACCATAGGATCAATACCTCCCTGTCATCTCACAATGAGCACAAACAGATGCATCTCTGTGTCCTTTCTGGCCTTTATGTGGGTGGACCCCAGCCACCTTCTCTGAACCCAAGACACTCAGCCTGGCTAGACTTCAGAGGCAACATACTGGCTTGCACCTCTAACTCACAGTTACAAATCCACACTGGGAACCTGTCTGCAGAACAGGTTCAGGAACATTGGCAGGCATGCTCACGTGGGGATTATGGATGAAGCAGGGGGAGTCCTTTGCCTCACCCGGACATAGTGGCTTAGCACAGACTTCTCTCCATTTGGAGATCAGTTAGTGGAGGTACACATGCTGTGTCAGTTGGGAAATTTGGTGAGGTCTTTCCCTGCGGGCAAATAATTTCAGCTACCAGAGTATACTGTCTCAATTTCAGAATAATTATTTTGGGCAAAGTAATTTTTTTCTGAAAAGTACTTTCTGCCATGTCGATATGTCACCTGACTGTCAGTTCTGTCCATTCCCAAGAGGACCTTACTATGACTCCTTTGTCTGGCTTGTACCACTACCATAAACAGAAGTGTGTTTCATTCTAGTTCTGACCAAGCATGTGGCACTCAAGGCTATGATCCAAGGCTGCTCCTTAGACAAAATGTACGAGTACAACCAATCTGAGGTGAGAATATTGAACTTTGATGTTGGCCAAGAGTTATTTCCCTAAGCTCCCATCAAATTCTTCACCACACTGGTCACCCCAGTTCTCCGTTCAGATCCTTGAATCCCCCATAGTCCAATAGCTAAAAGGTCCAGCCATATAAAGTTGCTCCCTTTCTACCTGTGCAATAACTGCCACTAAATATTTAGAATTTTACCTCCCAAACTTTCATGGAAAGAAACAAAAGTGTCACTTCCGTCCCTTCCTCTATTCCCAGAAATCATAGCTCCACTGTCCACTTTGTGAGGAATCATCTTAGGAATGGCCTGAATAACCAATTGGAAAATTGCTCACACTAGACAGGCAGGCATAAACCTAACCCTACGGTACACAGAACACTTACCTTACAGGATGATCAGCCAAGAATGGTCTGGCCACTGTCATCACCAGGTCTCATATTCAGGGTGACCAAGTGGGCATCAGGAGGGCCACTGCCAATCTTCAGCATACAGGGCTGAGGGTAAGTGCCACTGCTGTGTATGGTGTCAGTCCTGCTGGGGTAACTTTGATCTCCATGGCTACCTGTCATGGACAAGAAGACAGCTGCCATGCTGACACTGCAGAACTCTGAGGTCTGTTCTTGCCCTCTTCCCAGGTCTTATGATCTTTACTGGATAATAATGTCATCAGTTATTTTCCCAAAGTGTTTTTCTATAGCAAAAATTATATGCTGAGAATTTCAAAATAGCTTTTAAGCAATTGGCCCTGCTGATTGTGAAATCTTCTTTCACTTAGAAGTTACTGTTTCTCTTTCTATGAGCATGTATTTTGCACTAATACCTTTGCTAGGCCAGTCAGGATGAGATACTCCACATTTCTGAACTGAGAGGCAAAGCCAGGACTCAAAGAAGTATGCGTGTGACATTGAGGGAACAATACATTCTTTATTCTCTCCTTTTGAATCTTGCTCCCTCCCCATTTTGGGGTGTTGACAGGTCTCATCCCTGCATAGAAGAGTTTGCAGGCAACCCCAAGATATGTCTATCACAAGTATTGCCATCATCCTGAGCATACTTGCCTTTCAGCTCTTCGTCTCCAAAACCCAAATGTCCTTTATTCTATCACTTACCTCCTGCAGACAGTCATGGCCCAAGCTACATGGGCCTGTCCTTCCTGGCTTGCTCCACATCTGCATCTTAAATACTCCCAGTACCCTATAACTGTGATCATCTTTTTCGCTAGTTTTTCCTCAGTGGAGTCAAGAATTGTATTCTTAGCCTCATCAGGTCTCTAGAGCACTCAACTTCTCCTTTCTCCCTCTCTGTTCTTTTCTCTTTCTTCTCCATCCAGGGTACAGCACAGCATACCCTCCTGTTTTTCCTTCCAGTGCTCCTGACCATCAGAATCTGTACATAGAAGCTGCCCCACCCCACCTACACTGTTCCCATCATGTCCATCCAGCTACCTGTGCCTTCTACACAGCCCACCAGCCCCCTCTTTAGTTCAGTGTCAAGTTTTTTTATTGATCAAACTCTTGACCTGTCATCAATTTCACTTCCCTGATACTGCAACATGTTTTATAGAAATTATAGAAGCCATCAAATGGAAGAGTGGCCTCTCTCATCTCTGGCCACTTTACTCCCAAATGCTAACCTTTTCCAAGTGTGGTGGTATGTGCTGGTAACCCCAGCACGCTAAGAAGTTGATGCAGAAGCATCATAAGTTTAAAACCAGCTTGAGCAACTTAGTAACTTAGAGATTTCCTGTCTCAAATAAAAATATGAAAAAGGGCTGGGGATGTAGCTCAATGTGAAGGCCCTGGGTTTAATCCTGGGTAACTAAAAAGAGACAGAGAGACCTTCAGATGACTCAGATCACGGTCAGCTGGTTCCAAGGCAGAAACATCTTAGCAAAAGAGTGAGACAGAGCAAAGCTTCTTAGTTCATGGGAGCTGGAAAGCAGAGCAGGGAAAGAGTGCCAGAGAGGAAGATGTGAAGGACTAGATGTAGATTCCAAGGTCACGCCTCTGTGACCAACCCAGACACACTCAGAAGAGTACTGTGTTAGTCCCCTGAGTGACTCCTAAGCCAGTTGACAATCCCCTTTAACAATGACAGGGGTAGAAGGATGCCCATTTACTGTGGCAGTGCTGAGGACTAAGTGAGACGGTGCTTATAAATCAAGAGCAAAGATCAACACTCTCGCTGTCCTGGAATTGTAATACCATTAGCAGTATTGTAATTGTAGTATTAATAGTTGTTGGTTTTTTCACTGAAGTGTATGAGTTCCTCTGTGACAGAGAAAGAAATAAGAGCAGGAGACAGATCAATCTGCAGCACTCTCTTTCATATGGTCCCATTCTTGTGGCTGTCCTAGATGATGTTAACTAGGATCTGTGTTTATATTAGCTTAGCCCATACCTACCACTGCTTTGTTTTCTGAAAATTTATCTCAACATGCATATTCCCCAAGGATCGTTCGTACTTATTGTGGGTTGCTTGGAATGAAATTTATGACACTTTCAAATGTTTTGCAAAGTTTAAACACCCAGAAAGACTTTAGTGCTTGGATGTCTTCTCCTTTATCTGTCTCTGCCAATCAGATGAGCAATAGGATGCCCTCTCTGGGAGAAATGACTTCAAAAGGCTGTCTGGGTAACACCTCACTTAAACAGCATTAAAGTGAGTCAGAAGCACATACACTCACGTCATTTCTCCCCCTAACAGACAGACTTGAAAATTGAAAGCAAAGATTTTTGGCAAAGTGTACTGTAGCTGTTATAAGAGGCAAGAGGCTATTGTGAGATTCTTTTATACTGTTTTAACAGAACTGATCTCCCCTGTGAGAGCCAGACGTTCTTGTGTAGACAGAAGCATAATGATCACCAGGCAGGTCATGGCAGAGAAAAGATAGAATTCTCAGGCCCTGACCTAAGTCTATCCAACGTGCACTTCCCAGGTAAGCTCAAACTACAACATCCTGCTCCTCCATCATCTGTGGTAGTCTCTCTTGAGGTCTTTACTGTTGTTTCTCAGAAGCCCGAGGGTCTTACAGCATGGAGCTAAAGAAAAATCACATACCAACCTCTTTCATTCAGCAGATGGGGAAATTGAGAGCCAAACAGGAAATGAAGCCCTCAATAAAGCACTGCTAATCTGTAGTGAAGTCCAGGTTCGTCCCTGAAAGTGGACTCATCCACTTACACAGAGACCTGTCTTTTAGAGGGGACTTCAGGGACAACATTTTTAACTTTCTTGATGATTTATGCTCCAGAGTGAGCTCCTAAAAACTCACAATGATCAGAAAAAAAAAAAAAAAAAAAAAAAAAAACTTGTCTCCAGCCAAGTTTGGACAACACAATCTATATTGGCCTCTAAAATTGCACAATAGCAAATATCTACATCCGCAGCTGCTTTTTGCTGAGTTCTTTCCAGGAGGGAGTCACTTAGCAATTTTTCACACCTTATTATACTTTGTGAGACAGAATATACAAAGCAAGTTTAGAACTCAAGACAAATGCTTTTGAGGATCAAAGCTGGATCTCTTCCTAACACCAGAAATAAGGGTAACATTTAAATAGATTAAAAGCTTAAATACATTATAATTTTAGAATTGGTATGAGATACCTGTTGCTAAGTAACAGATGGCCCCAAAACAATGGACTGAGAAAACAAGCATCTTCCTTTCCATGGGCCAGGGTCCCATGTGCCTTAGCTGGAACTCCTGGTGTTTTTCTCACAGGCTTTAAACACGGTATTGGCCAGAGCCTGTCATCTCAAGGATCTGCTGCAGAATGATGCACTTCCAAATTCATGGAATTACTAGCAAAATTATGTTTGCTCAGATCCCAGCCGCATGAGTCATCCAGCATAATAGCCTGGTTCTCCAAAGGACTCATGAAGGCAATATAGTCAGCCGGCAAGTCAGAAGTCACAGCCTTTCATAATCTAATCATGCACTAGTACCTCCACATCTTTGACGTATTCCATTAGAGAACAACAAGTCACTAAGTCACTTCCTTGAAATGAAAGAATTTCACAACTATCTGAACACCAGGAGGAAGGGATCACTAGGAGGCCCTCAGTCTGCCTGCTATGGAACTGCACAACTAGAATGGAAAATGAGAATTTCTACTCAATTGAAGACACTTTGTTAATAAACAATGAAACAGAAGGAGAAATTTGTGATGTCAAAAAATGGAGAAATTTCTACAAATCACTAGGAATAAGGCCGAGTCCCAAAAAGGGAAAAGGAACTACAGGTAATAGACAGTTTAGAAAAGAAATTCAAAAGGCTAATTAATAAGCATGTAAAGAGATATTCACATTCATTAGTAATTAGAAAAATGTCATTAAAAGAAGGTGGTACTTTACACCTTTTTCTGGGAAAGTAGAAAGCTGGATAATGCCATGTGCTGGTAGGGACATGGGACTCTTGTCGCTGCTGGTGAGAATTTGGATTGGAGCCAGCTGTCACCCTAGTCTAATTTAATATATGCATATGTCATGAGCCAGAAACTCAGCTGTTGGACATGTGACCCAAATAAATTCCAAAATAGGTCAGAAAGGACCCCTTTTGCAGCACTGCATACAGTGGTAGAGAGTTGGAAGGGACCTGGGTGTCCTCTCCTGGGAGAACTGTCAGGCATTGTTGAACCTTGTGTAGGGCCAGAAGCAGCAGGCTGTGTTATTTACAGAGAAACAACATGGGTTCATGTGAAATCATGGGGTGTCATGAAATTAAGAAGGTACAGAATGAGATCAGTTACTATCATTGATGTAAGTTAAAATACATGCAAAAATGCACATTAAACAAAACTCAGCAGTGTACTATTCGAATAGGAGAGGTATGATGAGGCAGAGGGAAATAAACACAGGTTTCCCTGGGAATGCATCAAGAATTCCAGGAACTCCAACAGGTACCAAAATCCATCAGTGCTAAAGACCTTGTATAAAATGCTGCCACATTTGCATAGAACTTACACACATCCTCCCATGTAATGTAGATCATCTTTAGATTACTTAGAACACTTCACCACAATACTCACACATCATTATATTCTTGAAGATTCAGCCCAGATAGTACTAGGTGCACAGTAAATTCAAATTTTGCTTTTTGATTCATACATCTGAGGATAAATAACTTATCAATGCAAAGAACTGACCTGGGATTATGTACAGACCAGTGATTAAAAGAAAACTGATTCTACAGATTAAGGACTAGGGAAATTCAATCTTCTATTCCTGAAAGGGAAAACAGTTCAACAAAACATAGCAAAAACTCCCATACAAACTCCAGCACATTTATTGAGTTGTCACTCTATTGTAGGCAGGCACCCTATCAGATTTGTCTTAAAGGATGTTGGGCCAGTTCATTTTACTCCGATATTCCTTTTTCACATCAAAGCTACAGTTCTGTGAAATTTATAATTCCACAACAGTTGGACTTAGTGATTAAGATTGGACAAGAAATAAACTTTCGCTTAAACCAGCAAAAGGGAGATGGGAGATCTTATTTGTGAGGAAACACACACAGATATGGCATCCAGCTTCCCAAAGAGAGTCTAGCTTCAAATATTATCA